TCGTTAAGCGTCTGCCTTGGGCTCGGGTCATGATCCCAGCGTCCTGGGATCGAGCCCCCCATCAGGCTCCCTGCTCAGCCGGGAGCCTGCTTCTCCCTCTCCCACTCCTCCGCTTGTGTTCCCTCTCTAGAGACACTCTCTCTCTCTGTCAAATAAATAAATAAAATCTTTAAAAAAAAAAAAAGAACACAGCCCTACTATGACCTTGATTTTAGCCTAGTAAGATCCATTTTGGAATTCTGATCTCCAGAAATGTAAGATAATAGATTTGTGCTGTTGTAAGCCATTAAGTTTGTGGTAATTTGTTGTAGCAGCAATAAAGAATTACCATCTTTCCACAGGAAGAGTGTTGATGTCATATTCAAGAGCATATGAGATGGAAGACATTGTAGCTAGCTTTGAAAAATACAGTCTGCCATGCTCTACCACTAAGTAGGTAATTGTGGGTTATCTCTCTGGGTCTCAGTCTCTGCATTTATAAAATGAAAGGTTGAGCATGAGGCTAGCAAACCTTCTGGACCTAAAAGTTCCCTGGTCTTACAACTGAAAGGGAGATGTAGTATTCCCATGGGAAATCGTAAGAAATCATGACCGATACCCAAAGTCCTTCCTCAGTGCTCACCCCATCTATATACTACTACAAATGGAACAGGAATGGAGTGCCTGGATCAGAAACCCTCAGCATGTGTGGCAGATTTCCTAAAAGATAAGCTTTGGGGAACGGTTTTTGTTTTTGTTTTAAATTTCAAAATATTTAAAGAAGGAAGGAAGGAGGGAGGGAAAGAAGAGGGAAGGAAAGAAGAAAGGAAACAAAGAAAAAACTATTAACTTTTTGAGGCAGTGACCATTTCTTGTTCATTATTGGAACCCCAGCACCTGATATATAGTCTAGAAGGTAGGTAATCTCCAAAGAATGTTGAGAACAAAAAGAAAAGAGAACCCAAGGTTCACTGGTTTTGTGCCTGATAACTCTAAGGGGGAGGGGGGCCAATCCTTGGCGGGTCACCAGGTACAGACCCTTTCACCATTTTACTCAGGAAATTATTTCAGTAGTCTTCCAATTGGCCCCCTTTATTCTATCCTTGCCCTAAACACAGCAGCCAGAGTGATCCTGATAAAATATAATGTTGATCATGCCACTCTGCTGAAAACCCTCTAGAGGCTTCCTGTTTCACTTGTATATTAAAGCCAAAGCCCTTTCCAGGGCCAGAACTAGGTGAGGGGAGGGAGGCACCTAGGACACAGCATTTAAGGAGGTGCTTACTCTCGGGGGCCCACCTAGCACTTGCACCACTGTGAGAGGGAGCGCCTCCTTAAATAGGGAACCCTGGGTGCCTCCTTAGCCCCAACCTAGTCCTGACATTGGCTCTTATGGTGGGGTACAAGACCATACACCATCTAACCTCTCACCGCCTCTACCTCTCTGACCTCACATCCTAATATCCAGCCCCTCCCCTCCTTGGCTCACTCCACTCAAGCATACATGTCTCTTCGCTATTTCCTGAACACACCAGGCCCGCTTCCACTCAGTTTATGCTGCTGTCCTTTTGATGAAGTGGTTTCCCCCAGTATCCAAGTGGCTGGGTCCCTCATCTCTTTCAGGTCTCTACTCAAATACTACTTTTTCTGTGAAGCATTCCATGACTGCTCTATTAAAATTCAACCCCATTGCTATCTCTCTTTCCCACTCTATTTTTATTCTTAGTACCTAGTTCCATCTAACATGCTATGAATTGTTCATATTTACTTTGTTGGTGGTCTGCCTTTCCTGCTAGACTGTAAGTTCCAGGAGGACAAGGATTTTAATCCATTTTTTACCGCTGTGTCCCAGAATCTAGAATAGTGCCTAGCATATGTAGATGCTCAATAAAAAAAAAAAAAAAAAAATTGTAAAATGAATGGATATCATGAGACAATTTGTGATATAAAGCCATGGAGAATAGAGAATTATGGGATTTTAGAATAAACAGAGGTCTTACTAAAGGGATCAGCAGACTATAGCTTACAACCTATGTTTGTATGGTCTATGAGCTAAGAATGAGCTTATGAATTGAATTGTGTCCTTCTAAATTTCATATGTTGAAACCTAACCACCATCATCTCAGAATGTGACCTTAATTTGGAAAGGGGGTCATCACTGCAGATGTAATTAGTTCAGAGGAGGTCATACTGGAGTAGGATGGGCCCCTAGCTCAAAATGACTGGTGTCCTTACAAAGAGGAAAAATTTGGACACAGACACACAGGGAGAATGCCATGTGAATGTAAAGGTAGAAGTTGGGTGAAGTTTCTGCAAGCCAAGGATCACCAGAGATTGCCAGGGAACAGATTGTTCCTCACAGCCTCCAGAAGGAACCGACCCTGCGGACACCATGATCTCCAACTCTAGCCTCCAGAACTACAAGATGGTAAGTTTCTGTTTAAGCCACACAGCCCTAACAAAGGAATATGAATGGTTTGTATATCTATAAACAATTGTAGGAGAAGGAGAAAGAGGAAGAGAAGAAAGGGAAAGGAAGGGAGGAGGGAATGGGGGCAAGATAGGGGGAGGTGGAGAAGGAATAATGACAGAGGCAGTGTGCGGCCCCCGGAGCCTAAATAATTAGCTGTTTGGTCCTTTACAGAAAACGCTGTTGACACTGAAAGTTTAGAGACCATCTAGTCCATATAACTTATGAAGAAATGGCAGTTTCCAGAAATAAAATCACATATCCACATTCATTCATATGGTATGCACCCTAAAACCAGGCTATGTGACTTCAAGGCTATGTTTTTAAAAGCACTCTACACTGACTACTGCATTTTAAAAAATCATTTTGTCAATTCCCCCTTGTTTAAGTTAAAGTACCAAAATGTTACTAAGAAGATGTTTTCATCCATTATTCCCCCCTCCCAGCACCCTAAGGCCTTGACAGAAACGTACCATAATTCATAATTTTTTTTTGAGCAAAGTGCCTACTATGATCCATATTTTTTTGTTTTGGCTTTTGGGCTCTGCCCTCCAGCAACTCATTTTCTGTGATACTGGTTCTCAAACTATAATTAAAACATAATTAAAGATCAAGAACAGATGTCTGCCTGCTCTCTGGAGCTTCCACAAACTTATGTAGTGTAGAGTTTGGTATCATGGATTTTATGCTAAACAGAAATAAAATAAGAGAACTATCTGTGGAACAAACCCACATACAAATGCTAAAGGCAGAAGAGAGTATTTAAAATAAAGTGGACCAGAGCTTGTAGCGGTTCTTTTAACACACCTGTAACTCAGGGAGCCGCAAAACAAATCCGTTCTGTTGGCATCAGCTCCATGACTTGATGGTACAGACACAAAAAGATCTGTGTTCTTGCTGACTCATCTTGGGTGAGACATTGAACCATTTGGAGGAGGGTCTCACTTTGGCCATTTGTCAGCTGTTGAAGATGATAGTGCTTCCTCCAGAGGCTTCCCAGAGCGGAGCGGGTTGTGGGAGTGGGGGGCAAAGGTCTTCTTTCCCTTCTAAGGCTGCCTGATTTAGTTGAAGCATAGGTGCCACTAATAAGGAACTAAGTGTATAGATTTCTGTTAATTTGCTGGTGAGTTTGAAATGTGGAGGAAATGAAAAAGGAAGTGTGAATGGGTTAAAGACAGTTTTCCAGCAAAGAGTTTATGAGAACACTGAACGTCCCAAATGGGGCTGCTCTAATTCAAACTCTTATACTTTTGCACAGAATATACAAGTACCATAGGAATTAAATTTACTTAAATCTGAACAAAATTTGCTTTTTTGTCCCCCCCCTAGTATCCCTTCTCTAAAGCAGGGATCTCATCTGAAGTTGAACTCTGGCGTTAGCTGATGGCCTTGGGCAATTGACTTAACCTCTCTTTGTCTCTCTTTCTTCAAATGTTAAAAAGGGGGCGGGTGGGAGGGCGGAGGGGATAACTATAGTATATAAGCCATAAATCGGTTCAAGGATTAAATGAGATAATGAAACTTGAAGGTACCGAACAATGGGTAGGAATCCAAAATATGTTGATTTTCCATGTAAATATATGGTTGAAGAAAATATGCAAATATTCACTTAATTATAATTATTTACATAATTGTTCATCGTGTGGATGAATGTGGAAACCCATTAGCCTTTATTTTCATAAATAAACGCCACTAGGCATATGTTTTGTGATCTGTGAATTAGCTTTACATATACTCCAGCATTTGATCTACAAACTAAGAGTCTCAGGAGTCTTAGATGGCTAAGTGGTGGGTACAGCTAACATGGGGTAGAGCGGGGACCTGAGTTCCAGGTCACTTTTCTGCACTCCTTCCCTCTATAGGTGTTGGCTCTAAACCCAGAGACATTTCCGTTGTCTCAGTGGAGAGTTAACATTTTGCTCTGGGAGCGCCTGGGTGGCTCAGACTCTTGGTTTTGGCTCAGGTCAGGATTTCAGGGTACTGGGATGGAGAACAACCCCTGGACATAATCTCCCTCTCCCTCTCCCTCTGCTCCTCCCCCTGCTCCCGTGGGGGGCTCGAGTGCTCTCTCCCTCCTCCCTCTCTCTCTTTCTCTCAAATAAAGTCTCAAAACGAAACAAAACAAAAAACAAAACATTTTGCCCTGGAGTGTGAAAGCTATGTACCACTGAGTCAAGGTTTCTGTGTGTACAGCTTGGAGACATTCCCTTGATAAGAAAGGGATTTGCATGCAGTATATTCTACAGGTTTTTAACCATTCCTGGGTCCAAATCCCTTTGAAAATTTGATAAAATTATACCCCCTCCACACATTTTTTACATCTACTTCCCTAATTGTATGCATAAATTTTGTGGTTTTCACAGATCCCCTAAAATCCATCTAGAGATCCTTAATGATGCCACTTAGCAGGTTTAAGAAAATCTAATTTAAAAAGATTAGCATTTTATTTAAATACAAGAAGGAAAGCTAGCACTCACTTTTATATTCCCCTTAAGACCTTTTCTTTTTCAGTCCTCCAGTTTCTATTTGTTTTGTTTTTTTTTTTTTTTAGTTCTGTCTAAAGCTGGGGACATAAAACCATACTGTCAACCTTCTCAGGTTCCAGCTAAAGAACTAATCAGATGCAAGAGTGGCACAGCACATTTTGGTACAAACTGAAGACATATTGACCCGTTACCTGCAGCTGACATCCTAACACATGTAGGAAGTGATGGAGGAACAAAAAGATTTTCAGAATGAAAATCAGAATTCTGAGGCAAAGCCTTCAAAATCCAGCCTGACATTCCCGTGTACTGAATAAAGGAGTCTCCTTGTCATGTTTCATTTTTACCTCTCTTGAGGGAAGGCTAGGCCCGCCCCCCCCCCCCAGATTGTTTGGCAATGATCAGCTGCCCCACCAGGGACCATGTGAAGCCTCTTCCAGCAACCTCACACCTCTTGCCTTCTCCGAGCCAGGTCCCCGTTCTTCCTTTCTAGTCTTATTAATCTCACTCTCTGGTGTGACATAAACTGGCAGGTATCACTGCTGGGCTTGGCAAGTAGACACGGCAGATCCCAGGAGCCCAGGCACCTGAGGAAGCTCACTCTTTTCCTTACATGATGGGAAAAACCAGACTCTGCGGCCTGGACAACCTATCAAAAGATGGAACCGGTAGGGGAGGGGGTGGCTAGCTAAGGAGGCAAGCTGAACAAATACTAGCCAAAGTCAATTTTCTGCAAGTAGAAGCAGGACTCCAGTACCCTGTGCCCCAACATATCCGGGGGCGGTGGGGGGGGGTGTGATGCAGGAAGCAGGAGCAAATTGTCCCAGGAACCACGTTAGAACTCTTCCTCCTTCCCTCCCTCCCTGTCTTCCTTATTTCCTCCCCCACTTCTCTCCAGAAATAGTCCGAAGTTTCCAAGTCGAGGTGGATGCAGAAAGAAGTGGGAACTCTGCACGTCTGAGGAGCCCCTCTCGCGGTCGCACGGAAATTCTGTGCGGGTGGCTCGCCCGGGGAGTGGCCCGGGGCGCTCGCTGTGTATTCAGGTGGGGGGTCGGATTAGCCATCTGGGGCACAAATCCTGCAAAAGGAGCCTGAGAGCCGGGCGAGCTCTCGCAGGCAGGCAGGCAGGTGCAGCCGCAGAGCTCGGAGGGTCAGAGGCCGCGGCGGCGCGACCGCGGGAGCCGCGCGGGGTGGCGTCCACGGCCTGCGCTGACACCTGGGGCCGCTCAGTAGGGCGGCGCCGCCGGGACGCGAGGGAATGTGTCCGAGGAGCGCGCGCCGCGGCCTCCCGAGCCCGCGCCGCCTCCCCGGGCCCTCGGACCTGCAAGCCTCGGGGAAGCCCACGGCCGCGTGTGACCCGAGAGGACGCGGTGGGGCCGGCGAGGCTCGTGTCCCCGGCCTGCTACGCACCTGCAGTCGCGAAGGCACAGCGTGCCTCAGAATTTCCGCGTGGCCGCACCTCCTCCTGCGTCCGCCTGCGGAAGTGAGAGCTGGGGGCGTCTCCGCTCTCCGCAAACGCAGGGCGGCTCCCTTCCCGCAGCCTCTCACTTCACGTCGCGTGATCTCGGAGCTGGCCCTGGGGACGCAAGGTCACATGCCCCTGCGTCCGAGCGGGGACGCCACGAGGCATCGAGAGAGGCGTTCCTTCGGAGCCCCGTTTCCTCTCTTGCTACCCTGTCCCCAGCCCGTCCGCAGCCTAGTCCCCAAGCCCAGGATTCCCAGAATGTGAAGATGGAGCCCATTTTTTTCTCTAAAGCTGTTACCTTTTCTCTGGGCTTAGGGCATTTCTGTCCTCGGAAATACATATCCGGTGTCCCCGCCTTTTCCCCCTAGAGACTGACAGTTGGTAATGCCCTCTCCAAGCCTCTCAGCCAGAGAAGCCAAGGAGGGCAAGAGCTGAGTCCAAAGTGCAGATGCCTCCAAGAGCTTCTTTCTAGAACAGCGGTTCGGGCCCCCCCTGGGCTTGAGAAGAGTGCAGGGGTGGTGCATCAGGCATCTTACCTTGGGCTGCCCTGTGCCCCCAAAGGCCCGGCCTTGGTTGCTGCAACCGCTCTTTTCTGGGAGGCCCCAGAGCGGATTCCCTGGAGCCCTAGGTCGGTTTCCTCGGTGCTGTGGCCGCCATGGAACTACCGACTGTGCTTCCCTTCGCTTTACCCTGGGCAACCCCCTGGTCACCTGAGGTGACTTGAAACACTGTCTCTTTCCGGTGGGCTTCAGATGATGGTCAAAGAAAATAACTGTCAAGAATCATTTCAAAAGCATATTTTTACTAAACTTTTATGGAAATACAACACGCACAGAAAAGTGCACAAATCTCATGTATACAACTTGATGAATTTTCACAAAGTGAACATCAACAAGCATTTTTGAATGTTTATTCCATCTATACATAATCCCTGAGGGGATTACAAATAACACATTTATTCTTGAGGAGGACATTCGTGAAAAGGATTCCCCTCCCTGCCCAGTACCATGAAATATTTAGACTATTTGTAAATACACCCAAGTTTTATTTGTACAACAAAAATTTCTTGGATCACATATCCCTTTGGACAAAACTCTCCTTGCAAAAGGCTAAAAAGCTGTTAGCTCGAATCGAGCTGTTAGGTGGTTAGATGGTATTGCCCAATTGACATCTGGTTGGGAAACCATAACAACTCATTTGGTACAGCCTGATGTTCCTGCCTCCAAAACTCATCCCATAGTGACACTGCATTTTTATCCAGGTCACCCTGTTAACGTGCCACAGGGAGAAATGTATGCTGAGATCAAAGATAATCCAAAGTTTTAACTTTCTTGATACATTTCATAATAGTTTATTTCCAAGCAGCATCCCTGCCATGGAAGCAAGTGGGTACAGTTGACTACTTTTTAGCAGAGGAAGCTTAAAACAGGGAGAAGCCAAATATCCTTCATTGAACACCAATGTCATCCTCTTTAGAAAGGGAGGAATTTCAATATCCATGCCCTGGCTGCCATCCACATGTTAAACATGTTAAGACATAAAAGCAGTCTTTTCATCTGTCTGATCTCTCTGGGATCTTGATTAGAATTCTCTGTCCATTTCTTGATGGTCTGTTTTGAAGGATTTTTTTTTTTTAAAGAACTGTATTCCAGAAAGTAGCGAGCTAGTGATCTATATTATAAAGAAAAATTCATGAAAGTCAGAGATATTAGAGACTAGAAAAATCAGAGATGGAAAATGTTTCAGATATGTCATCTAGTCTAGTATTTCTTTGCTCTCAGTAGTTAATGCCTGTCCACTTTGATAGTTATTTGTCATCTTGGCAGAGATTTGTTCATGGGTCAGATTTATATAGACAAGTCATAATGTTAACTCCATGTGCGCTGGTTCACATAAACAGCCTTTATCCAATCAATACCTAAGACGTGTGTGGCCCCAATGGTTATAAAATAAATGTGACCTGTAACCCCTTCCTTTAAAAAGTTTATCACTGAATAAATAAATAAATAAATAAAACTCAGTGCCAGGGTGACTTTTCACCTACTTTGCTCATGTAATCATTACCTTTGTGAAGAAAAATAATAGCTAATATCTGCTGAACATTTTATGCCTGCCATTTTATTAATACTAACTCACTTAATGCTTATAAGAACATTATGAAATAGAAATTGTTATTCCCAGATTATAAATGAGCAAACCAAGACTCTGGAGGTTAAGCCATTTGACCATGATTTTAGCTAGTGGATATTATTTCTCCATCTTGGGGCCTGAGAAAGACCTGTGATGAACCTGGGCAGTCCTCACATTTTACACTGAGGAAATTGAGACCCAGCAGAGGTAAGCAGCATCTTTCTCAAGACCACAACTTTTATCTGGGGAACGTCACAGAAAGTCTTGCTTTAAGGTGGGCTATGTAATAAGAATCCCAAGGAGGTAAGCTTCTGGGTCTTGATTTTGTTCTGTCTTCTCAGCACTGGGAAGATAATCCTAACGTTCTCTGCCACCGCATGCTATAAGGAATAGAGCTGCAGCTGCTGCCTTGGCCTTGGGAAAGCCCGCAGGGCAAACCTTGTCTAGTCAGAAGCTGGGCCACAGAGGTCCATCCCTCTGCAAGCCCTAGCTAATGGCATTTGGAGGCGGAGGCAAACTGACCTGGTCTGAATTTTGGGTCCCCGGCCGATTAGCTCTGTGACCTTGAGAAACTTATATGACTCCTCTAAATTTGATTCTCAGCTGTAGAACAAGGATTTTATGAGGGTTGTTGTGAGGACCAGACAGCAAATATGTAACAAATGGTAAGTATAAATTAGAGCAAAATGAATGGTCCTGGCCAGTTTCAGAGATCCCTTTTAATTCCATTTCCAATTTATCTATCTTACTGTTTCTCAAAAGTCAGCAATGATGCTGGGGATTTGTTCAAAATATATCTCCAGAGCTTCAACAGACACTTAATTGGCAAAGAAGGTTTGATGACTTGATGTGGTTCTTAATCAAGGACCTAGAAGTAAGGACTACTACACCTATAGGATTAGAAATCTTTTCATTTGCAAAGACCTATTTGGTGTGTTCTGGGCGTAGTAATACTATAATTACCATATTTAACAGCTTATAAAGCACACGCCAAGCAAATTCCTTGCCTGTTTAATAATGTCTAGGTATCAGCCTTTTAGTGGTATCTATCAGCCTTGAAAATATAAGAGAAATAACTTTTGAAACAGTAGTTTTCAAGCTTTAGTGTGCTCAGAATCATCAGGAAACCTTGTGAAATATGTAGATCTCAGACAGGCAGAGCTGGGAAATCTGTATTTCTCGGTATCCAGCCTTGTTCTGAAGCTTATGCTCCTCGGAACATACCTTAAGAAAGTCTGTCCTAAGAGCCTTCTGTCCAGCTACTCTTTCTTGATGCTTCCCAGGAAAAACCCAAACAAGTGCCCTTCATTTAGCAGTAGCAGCAGAAGAGCAATAGTTAACTCTTGAATTACAATAGATGTCTCCTCCTAATCTAAATGACTTAAGGTCACAGCTTCATTTGGTCCAGCCGTATTACATTCTATAAAAACACCAAGATTCACAAGTAAGCTTGAGATAGGGACTGATTTCCCTCACCAGCTCTGATCACTAGGCTGTGATGGATTTAGTTCTCTAACTAGCAAGTAATTTCTTCTTTGGCAGGAGAGATTGGAAGTAAAAAGGAAAAGAGGAGTGAGTAAAGGGAGGTGATAATAGATGGTT